ACCAACTCTTTAAAAAAATATTTTCATTGTAACAAACATTGAGAAAATACTATGTCAGCAATTCATATGTATCAGTAATGTTATAATAACTGTACTATTTTGTCTGAACTATTCCCAATGTTGTTTCATTTTTGGTCTTTTTTGAGGCAGGCTCTCACTGCTTATTTACCATCCTGCCTCTCCCTTTCTAGTCTAAAATTATAAGCACGGGCAGCTGTACTCATCTTGTTTCAGACTGTGGAATCCCTCCAGGCCTTCTGGACCACAGACTGATTCAAAGATAGTAGAGAGTTTAAAATGTTGCAAATCCAGACCTGATTATCTTGTGTTGTAATACGAGTGGCAAGGCTGCGTCCCCAGCACCCTGGCTGCCTGGCTAGCTTATGCCCCGAAATAACAACACACAAATTGTTTTCATTTAAACACTGCTTGACCCATTAACTCTAGCCTTTACAGGCTAATTCTCACATCCCGATCAACCCATCTCTAATAATCTGAGTAGCATCAGTTTTACCGGGAAAGATTCTAGCCTACGTCCATCCTGGGTCGGCGCGTCTACCGGGGAGAGGGGAGCATGGCGTCTCTCTGAGCTCACTTCCTCTTTCTCCCAGCATTCTGTTCTGTTTACTCCTCCCACCTATGTTTTAACCTATGAGGCCAAGCAGTTTCTTTATTACTTAACCAATGACCTTCCTTCATCAATCTTGAACCAATCTTTAACCTCCATTGCCATTTATGGCCACCCAGGTGTGTGACCTATCATCTTTGTGACTCTTAGGTAAATATTTAGGGATGTAAAACTAGCTTCCACTAACCCAAAGGCCGAGACGTCGGGCAGCACCTGAGGCCTGTGACTGAGACTCACTTTCCTGGACTCTACTTACCTAATGTATCCATCAAGATATTTTAGGGGTGTCTTGATTTATGGTTTCCTTTGTTCTCTGCTTTTTTAGTTTTTCGAGACAGGGTTTCTCTGTGTAGCCCCAGCTGTCCTGGAACTAGCTCTGTAGACCAGGTTGGACTTGAACTCACAAAGACCCACCTGCCTCTGCCTCCCAAGTGCTGGAATTAAAGGTGTGTACCGCCACTGCCCAGCTTCTTTTGTTCTCATTTATAAAACTTCATGGAAGATCTGGCAAGACAAAGCCAGGCGAATCTTGATGAGTTTGAGGCCAGCCTGGTTTACAGAGCAATTTCCAGGACAGCCAGGGCTACACAGAGAAGTCAACCAACCATCCAACAAACAAACAAAAACTTCACGGATCTCTCATGGTATCAGAACACGCATTTATGCAAAGCCTGGATCTGAATCTGTGTCCCCAGTCAGGGACACTCGAATTTGGCTCCAGAATAAACAGTGAGAAGTGTTTTTGAATTGACTAAATTGTGTACTGGTTTGTTTTGTTTTTGAGACAGGGTCTCATGAAGCCCAATGTGCCTTGGAACTCCCTCCATAGCCAGCCAAGGACAGTCCTGAACCTGTGATCCCACTGCCTCCACCGCCCCAGAGCTGGGATTACAGGCACACACGACCACGCCCATGGGGTGCTGGAGAAGGATCCCAGGCCTTCTTGCATGCCTGGCAAGTACTCTCCCATTTCCGGCACCTACATGGCAGTTCACAACTGTCTAAAACTCCAGTTCCAGGGGATCCAACACCCTCTTCTGGCCTCTGCAGGTGCTAGGCATGCACACAGTGCATGGACAGACATGCAGGTAAAACATAACATACAGAAAAAATAAACCCCAGCACGTGGGAGGCAGTGGCAGGCGATTTCTGAGTTCTGAGTTCAGGGCCAGCCAGACCAGGTCTACAAAGCAAGTTCCAGGACAGCTAGGGCTCCATAGGGAAACCCTGTCTTAAAAAACAAAAACAAACAAATTAACTAATTAACCTCAAAAATGAAGTAATTTTTTTTTTGTTTTGGTTTTTCGAGGCAGGGTTTCTCTGTGGTTTTGGAGCCTGTCCTGGAACTAGCTCTTGTCGACCAGGCTGGTCTCGAACTCAAAAAATGAAGTAATTTAAGAGAGAGAGAGACTGCTAGTTTGGGCCGAGCTCTGTAGTAAGCTCTATGCGCCAAACCAAATGGGTCACTAAGGCTAAGGTTCCAAGACACCAAATTGAAAGTCACTTTCTTTAAATCTGGTGAGGAACCATAGGCCAGATCCCCAGTAGGCCTGTGTGAGCCAGAAGTCTCCTCTGCATTTTCATTCCAAGGAAAGCCATTGTGAACCCGCCGGTCTGTTTTCTGTCCTCTTGGCTGCGTTCCCCAGCCTCTTCCATCTCTCTGCTCAGCCCCTCGGACATCCTCTCTGCATTGTTGAGTGAGGTGTCACTGGGCTCTAGAGTTGGAAATAAAAGCCAATGAAGATCTGTACACTAGATCTGTCAGGATGGTGGCTTTCTACACATTCTCTCTGAGACGTGGAATAGGGGAAACTGAGTCAGCTATTTAGCCAAGACCTTTTGTGGGTGTGAATTCCCGAACTACACTCCCCACCAAGTTCTGGAAATTTCCCAAAGGGCCCTAGGCTGCTGCTTCTTTTTTTCCCACTCTTCGTTTTGGTTCTTGTTTCATTTCATCTTTCTAAAAAAGACACTATGTAGCCCAGGTTGGCCTGAAACTCTCATGTGCTCCAGAAAGGTTGAAGCCAACATCCTCCTGCCTCATCCTCTGATGGGATTGCAGGTGTGAGTCACCATACCCGGCTCTACCCATTATGTTCTCAACTCTGTATATTTCTTTTCTCCAGAAGAGAACCCAGGAAATAATTGCAGAAGTAACAAGGACTGTTTCTGAGAAGAGAACTGGGAAATTAGAAAGGGAAACTGGCCAGTGTTTACACTTTGCTACTATTTGTTTTATTTTATACAAAAAATTTAAGATTTTTCTTTTGACATAGGATCTCACTATGTAGCCTTGGCTGCCCTGGAACTCATTTTATAGACCAGGCTGGCCTCAGACTCATAGGGATCCACTTGCTTCTGCCTCCTGAGTTCTGGGATTAAAAAGCCCTGAGTCATCACAACTAGCTAAAATTTGTTTTGTGAGTGCAGTGCCTGAAGAGGCCAAAAGAGGGCGTCAGATCCCCAAGAGCTGGACTCACAGGTAGTTCTAAGCCCTTAGAGATGGACATGGGTGCTGGGAATTGAACTGCAGTCTTCTGCAAGAGCTGTACATGCTCTTAACGCCTGAGCCAGCTCTCTACCCACCTGCTCTTTAAAGATGGGGTTTCATGGAGCCTGAACTGGCCTTGAATTACATATTTACAGCAGTGGATGAATTTGAACTTCTGACCCTCACGCTTCGACCTCCAAAGTGTTGGCATTGCCGATGTACACCACCACAGCTGGGCCATGAAGTTGCCTTCCCTACACCCTGGACATGGCATGAAAAGTACTGCATTGTTATGAACAGGAAGTCTCATGTCTGACCTTTGCCTCAAACAGCCCAAGGAGAAAGAGTGGGTGGAAGCAGAGAAAAAAACAGCCTGGCAGGAGGTTAGCTGTTCAAACTGAGTGGTCGATACACTGATCTTCTCTTAAATGCCTTTGAATGTCTCAAGGGGAAAGTGTTTCTTGACGATGGACGCACAAAGATTGGTGGGAATAGATGGGTGGGTGAAGGTGCTTGCTGCCAAGCCTAAAGACCGGAGTACAAGCCCCAGGTCCCACAAAAGCATGGAGAAGAGAATCAGCTCCCACAAGCCATCAGGGGCCTCCACAAGTTTGTGTTTGGGGTACAGTGAGACCACAAAACTAGACTGGTATCCTGGAGGTCAGCAGGGTGGAGCCTTTGAGGTGGCACAAGCTGTTTGGGTTGGCCGAGCACTGGAAGCCCTTGACAAGGTAGTTGTCCTTTGGGAGGATTAAAGGAGTCTCTTGGTGGTCTAAGTGGGGCTCCTGGTTATCTTCTGTTTAGGACATTGTCACCAGCACGGCCACTTTGGACATAACAATGTTGCCATGAACACACACACAGACACACAGGCTGTCTATTGTGTCTACTTATTTTGTTGGTCATGCCTCTCCCTCCACAAAGCAAGCTCAGTGTGTGCAGGAAGCCAGGTTCAGTTTTATTTATTGACATTCACTAGGGAGCACATGACTCATATATATCTGCATACATCTGCATTCCACAGAGCTGATAGACTGATGGGAAGAAGAGATTCTGCTAGCAGGGTCTGGGGCGCTTGCCTCGAGCTCCCCAGCCTTCCAGAGGCAGAGGTTCAGAGTCAACGCTCACTCTGCTACAAAGTGAGCTCCAGGACAGCATGGGCCCTACCTGGGACTCAGCTGCAAACCAGGGCTGGCGTGGTGACTTTGGCTGTTCTTCCAAGAGGAGCTGGGTTCTATGCATTCACATAGGAGCTCACAGGCACCCAAGTCCAGGGTGTCCCGATGACGTCCCCGCTAGCCTCCCCAGGCACCAGGCACAAAAGTGGCAGAGACGTAACTGCAGGCAAAACACCCATACAAATACAAAAAAATGAAAAGGAATTTTTAAAAAGCCGGTCATACATGCCTTTAGTTCCAGTACTCCTGAAGCAGAGGCAGGCAGATCTCTCTGTGAGTTTGCCACAGTGAGTTCCAGGCCAGCCAGGCCTACAAAGCGAGACACTGTCTCAAAGGAAAAAAACCATCTGCACCTACTAGCTGGGCGGTCACTTCTCGAGGACACTTGGCCTCTGCGAGCCTCAGCGTTCTCTCCTGTGATGTGAGGGCAGAGATGCACTAACTTGGCAAAGGGAAACAGAAAACTTTATCTGATGCTTTCGGTTGGGGGGGGGGGGTTATTTTCGTCCTCTAAAGCCTGCCTTTTCCTGTAAATCACGAATGATTATGTTTGACATTAAAGGTGACTGGCTCAAGGCGTTTAGGGGTGGAGCCTCCCACTAGGAAGCCTAGCCAAAATAATAGTTATTGCCAGATGCCAGATGCCAGGCATCTACTGCGGATTTAGGGTCATTCCAAGTGGAGGATTGTTGCAGGCTCGCTAGAACTACCCCAGAGCCCCGGCACAGTCTGTGTCATCAGTTGGATTCCCACGGTTCCTCAGCAGGAAGGAGGTGGGGTCTGGAAGGGCTGGGACTTTAGGAAATGAGAGACCGGCGAGTCTCAGAGAGGTCCCACCTGGCAACAACGGCGGCGTTAGCAGGGCTAGGGCTATGCGGTCCTCCAGGCCGCGGAGGGGAGCTGGCAGGGGTGCTGGTGAGCGTCAGCGGGCTCGGATGGGGCGGCAGCTGCGGGGTGGGGGTAGGCTTGGGGACAGCGAGGCGGCGAGGGGACGTGGGAGGCAGCGGATGGCTTTGGGGCGTCTCGGGGCGCGCGGCTGCAAAGCAGGGCAGCAGAAGCTGCGCGTCGCGGAGGCTTCTGGTCACTGACATCTGACCCCCTCCTCTCCTGCAGTCCCAACCAGGCGGGGCGCGGGGACCATGGGTTCCTGGACTTCCAGGGCCCGGGTCCCCACGCCGGAGCTCAATCCCCGGGAGACGCTGGACCTGAGCCGTCTGCCCCCGGAGCTGCTCCTGCTGGTGCTGAGCCACGTGCCCCCGCGTGCACTGCTGCTGCACTGTCGCCGGGTGTGCCGTGCCTGGCGTGCCCTGGTGGACGGCCAGGCCCTGTGGCTCATGGTGCTGGCCCGGGACCGCAGCGCTGCCGGCCGCGCCCTGTTGACGCTAGCCCGCCGCTGCCTGCCCCCGGCCCGCGAAGACAGGCCCTGTCCGCTGGCTCAGTTCTGCTTGCGAGGACCGCTCGGACGTAACCTCATCAGCAACCCCTGCGGTCAAGGTGAGGAGACCCGAAAGTGCTGCTAGGGCGGGGCCAAGAGAGAACCGTTGCGCAAGGTGAATGGCGGGGCCACGAGGAAGCCAATGGGCGGGGCCACGAGAGAATCCACCGGAAGTGATGAAGGGCGGAGTCACAAGATAATCGATGGGCGGGCATGAGAGGGCGGCTCCACGAAGGATAGGATGAGGAGCGGAGTCACAGGATAACTGTGGATGGGGTGAGGGCGTGGTCATAAGGGAACCAATGGGAAAGGATGGGGGCGGGATCACAGTGGGCCAGGTGGGGGAGTACGCAGGGCAGGGCCCCAAGAGAACCTATAGGAGGTGCGGAGGAGTGAGCCACAAGGGTACCAGTGAAAGGGGCTAGGGCGGAGTCACAAGATATGTAATGGGCGGGGCCTAAGGGACAGGTAGGGCAAGAAAGCAGAGGGAGGGGCTAGAAGTGAGGTCACACTTGACCCAGTTAGAGTGACTGGAAGGATCTGACCAACCATAAGGGAGCTTGGGAGGGGAGCGAACTCCTTATCCTGGGAGCCAATGATGAGCAATTAAAATTGGTACATAAATATATTTTGTTTGACTTTTGCATTTATTAAATGTATTTTTATTAACGTATATGTGTACTTGTTGGAGGTCAAAAGAAAAACATTTCCACTGGAATTGGGAGCTGGGAATGTATTTTAGGTCCTCTGGCAACTCCTACCTTTGAATGTTTTTAGTAGGTTTTGTTGTTGTTATTTGTGGGCTGGACAGATGGCGGTTAAGAGTACTGGTTGTCCCTCTGCAGGACCTGAATTCAGTTCTTAACACTCACCTGGAGGCTCACAACCATTTGTAACTCCAGGAGTCCAAGAGAGGTCCCACTTCCTCTTCTGGCCTCTGTTTTGGGCTCCCGAGGTACCAAGCATATACATGGTACACAGACATACATTTTTAACTTCTTAAAATTATTGTAGTGTGTACGAAAGGGCTCAACTCAAGGGTCACAGCACAGGTAGTCATAGGCCAAGCTTGTGCAGTCATGAATTCTTAATCCATTTCAGACTGTGACTGATGGGGGGCGCTTGAATTTGACACCAGTCCTAATGCCTCAGTTTCCCTGGTTCTGCTTTACTTTACAGAAGGCCTGCGCAAGTGGATGGTGCAGCATGGCGGGGATGGCTGGGTGGTGGAGAAGAACATGAAGCCTGTGCCTGGAGCCCCCTCGCAGACCTGCTTCGTGACTTCCTTCAGGTAGAAGCCCCATACCCCAAGGGCCAGAGCCCTCATTGAGAAAGGCCTGCCTGTTCTCATGATCTCTCTCTCCCCCTTCCTAGTTGGTGTCGCAAGAAGCAGGTCGTGGACCTGGAGGAGAAGGGTCTGTGGCCAGAGCTGCTGGACAGTGGCGGTGTGGAGATTGCGGTCTCTGACTGGTGAGTCTGGGAACAGCAAGAGTCATTCGCTAAACCCTGGGGTCCCATGGCACACTCTTGTAATCCCAGTAGTTGGGACAATGAAGCAAAAGGACCGTGGTCAATCCCAGGGTGGCACAGGTGAACTTAAGACCAGCATAGGCTAAATAACAACACCTTGTCTAATAAATAAATAACAACAACCAAAAAGACCTGAAATAAAATGAGTTCACATGAAACACAGCTAGGGCCTTGTAAGTGTGAAAGTGTGGGTACCCTTGTGGAGCCCTGATCACATGGCCTCTTTCCCAGGGGTCAAGTGTTACCAGCCTGATAATCCTGTGTCTCAAGATGCCTGGAACAGGGCCAACTCCCTGTACACAATTTTTATTGGTGCTTCATGGAATGCCTGACCAATTGACTGCTTGCCCACGTGGTTAACCACAGCCCCTGAGTGAAGTGACATTCACAGGCAGCTCTAAATTGCCTTATGGATCTTTCTAAGGTGGCAGCTCTCACCCACGCCTAGCCATGGCAGGACTAACCTTTATCCTGTCTGGTGGACTGTTTGGTAGGTCTGGAGTCTCCAACAAAGACACAACCCAGGGCCTCGTGCGTGCCAGGAGACGCCTCCAACACTAAGCCATGTGTACCAGGTCTCTTTTTTAGTTTAATTTTGAGGCGCAGTCTCACCAAGGTGCCCAGGCTGGTCTTAGCCTCAGTAACAACTGGAATTACTCGCCTAAGTCAGCAGGCGCATCTCATAAGATCTGGACTCAGAGCAGATTCCATATGTGTGCCTTTGGTGGAGGGGAGAGGCCAGCCTAGTAGCATTCCTTAAGAGTGGTCCACCTGCCTCTGCCTGTCCTACGCTGGGGTTAGAAGCTTAGATCACTCTTTCTAGCTTTTCGGCTTTTTTTTTTCTTCTGAGACAGGGTCTCCCTATGTACCCCTGGCTGACCTGGAGTTCTCTGTAGGCCAGGCTGGCCTCAAACTCACAGAGATCCACTTACTTCTGCATCCAGAGAGTTTAAATCTGTGTGCCAACATATCTGGCAACACCCGGCTTTTTTTGGTGGGGGGGAGGGGGTTCATGACAGGGTTTCTCCATGTAGCCCTGGCTATCTTGAAACTTGCTGTGTAAACCAGGCTAGCCTTATACTTGAAAATCTGCCTGCCTCTGCCTCCCAAGTGCTGGGATTAAAGGCAAATGCTGGGATTAAGGGCACGCAACACCACCGCCTGGTTTAACACCCAGCTCTTCCATGATTTCTGGGGTTCAAACCCAGGTCCTCAGCCCCCTGTGGCAAGCACTTTCCTGATTTAGCCGTCTTGCCAGCCCCCAAAGACCCCTTTGAGGAACTTAATTTGTACCCACAGGGAGGCCAGCTACCCCAAAAAGAGGTGACACATTCAGACCTCCCCTTCCCACAGGTGGGGAGCTCGACACGACAGTGGCTGTAGGTATCGTCTCCTTGTTAAGCTTCTTGATGCTCACCAGAACGTCCTAGATAAGTTCTCGGCTGTGCCAGACCCCATTGAACAATGGAACAACAATATCTACCTGCAGGTGAGCCTCTGCCCAAAGACGAGCCGCTCACTGGGTGGGGAAAGGGGTGGTGGGGACTGGGATGGTCCCATCGCGACAGTTGGAGCTGCATGACCAGTTGCAGTCATTTTACAGTCTCTCGTCTTTGTGTTTTAGTGTGTGTGTGTGGGGGGGGGTGGCTATGCCTGTCTGTGTCCTTGATATGTGGAAGGCAGAGAGATGGATGTCATATGTCTTTCTAGAATCCTCCACCTTAGTTTTTGAGACACTATCACTCACTGAACGAGGAGTTCATTGATTGGCTAGCTGACTGGCTGACAAGCTGGAGCCGCCTGTCTACCCCCGGCACTAGAATCATAGCTAATGCCAGCACAGCCAGCATGGACGTGGGTGCTGGGGATCTGAACTCAGATCCCTTATGCTTGTGTACCAGGCCCTTTATCAACGGAACCATTTCCCTAGCCCTGCCCTGGCAGGACGTGGAGAAAGCTGGGCTGGGCAGGTCTGGCTGAAGTGTCTCTTGGCCCAACAATAGCTCTCAGACCGTGACATGAGCTGAAGAGCCGGCTGGTGGCGGTGGGTGACCATGACAACCAGCAGTCTGCAGGCCTGGGGCAGCCATGATGTGAAGAATCCCCTCCATGAGATCTCTGGGCCAGTTTACACTGAGACTCCTCACATCATGGCTGCCCCAGGGCAGGCAGACTTCTTCTATGGCGGTTAGGGGGCCAGGAGACATAAGCTTCAGGCACTTGGCCTGTTCTGATCTATTTGGGAGGTCACTCAATAAGCCCACTCAAGGTCACTTCTGTAACTCTCTTTTTGAGACATGGCCTTATGTAGCCCAGGCTGGCCTCAAACTCACTATGTAGCTGAGGCTAGCCTTGTGCTCCTCCCGTATCTCAAATGCTGGGAATAATGGCCGATGTGCACAGCCACACCTAGAATTTCTGCCACGTTCTTGCTGATAAAACCTCTTTTATTTGGTTGGGTTTTTGTTTGTTTCTTTTTGTTACTGTTTCTTGCTATATAACCCAACTGTCCAGGACCCCACTGTGCAGCCTAGGCCATCCTCTAACTTTCCATCCTCCTGCCTCAGTCACCCATGATGACAGGGGCTTGTCACACACCTACCCTTAGATTCCACCTGTTAATGAGAGCATGGCAAGATTTCAGAAGAAGAGGACTAGGCAGTGACATGGCCGCCATCTGGGAAAGCGCTGTGGCCAGGACTGTGACACAGACTGATTGTCTCCTTCTGCCTCCAGGTCAGCCATGTGTTCTCCAACATCAGGAGGGGTGTCCGTTTTGTGTCTTTCGAACACTGGGGCCAGGACACACAGTTCTGGGCTGGCCACTATGGGGCCAGAGTGACCAACTCCAGCGTGATTGTACAAGTCTGTCAGTCCTAGTCAAAGGCCACCACCATTTTGACAAGACAGCCTGACTGTGCCTTCCAGGAGCTGGGGCTGCTGACTGGAATCCTTCACGAATCAAGCGCTCAAACCTTCCTGGCACATGTCACTCTGGGATCAGTGGGGGCTCCTGCTTGGCCACGCTCAGAGTCTCGAACACTGGAGTCCTCCATCAGCTCTGCCCACTGCTGCTGCTTGTAGAGCGGGGGGTGCCGGGCGCATGCTCGTCTCAAGGAGGTCACAAGCTGCCTCTGTTTCAGTCTGCTTGGGTAGAGCGGGGTGCTAGGCGCATGCTCGTCTCAAGGAGGTCACAAGCTGCTCTGTTTCGGTTCAGTCTCTCTCTGCCCTGTCCTCAGTACTGATCCCCAGCCCTTTTCTGAGGCAGGGTCTCGGGTATCCCAGATGAAAACCAAGGATGACGTTAGCCTCCTGTCCTTGTCAATCAGTGCTGGGAGTGCAGGTATGCACCAGGACCTCCCAGGCTGGTGCGGTGCTGGGGCGAGCAGGGGCTTAGTGCAAGCCAAGTGTATATTCTACCAACCAAGAAGCATCCCCAGCATTGCCTCCTTGTCCCTCTGTTTCTGCCTCAGGGACTTTCGTTGTCCCTTCACTGATGCCCTCCGCTCGTGTCTGAACTTAACAGCTAGCAAAATTCCAACTCCCGTGTGAACCCAGGCGCACATGGCTACACCCAGATCTTCTCATTGAAGGGGGTATCTGCCCACAGATTGTCCCCCCAAACAATGAGGAAGGGCCTAGAGCCCCAGCCCTGATCCTCAGGGACCTCTGTAATTGTGTAATATTTAAAGTTATTTATCATTTTCTCAAACAGTGAGAGAATAATATACTGGCAATATATGCCTGCCAACTGCACTGTAATAAATTGATTATTTTACCTAAACTGGTTCATATTTTTTTCTTTGTTGTGGTCTTTTTTATGCTTTGTTCTGTTGTTATTGCTGTTTTGAGACATGGTCTCACTATGTAGCCCTAGCTAGCCTGGAACTCACTGTGTAGGTCAGCCTGGCCTCAGCTGCGTTCACCTGCCTCTGCTGCGTATGTGTGTGTGTGTGTGTGTGTGTGTGTGTGTGTGTGTGTGTGTGTGTGTGTGTACGTGTGTGGTGTGTGTGTGTGTGTGTGGTGTGTATGTGTGTGTGTGGTGTATATGTGTGTATGTGTGCGTGTGCATGCCCATGAGCACGCATGCTTTCTGTGCTTGGTGGAGGTGCATGTTCACCGCAGCAAGCACGTAGAGCTCAGAGGAGCTTGAAGGAACCAGTTCTTCCCACTCTGTACACCCCAGGGACCCAACTCAGGCTCTCTGGCCTGGTGGCTGGCATCTTTACCCACAGAGCCATATAGGCAGCCAATTATTTTGATCCTTTTATCAGACAGAGTCTTGCTATGGTATGGCTGGCCTGGAACTCATGACAATCCTTCTTCCCAAATGGTAGCATTATAGGTCACACATACCCAGCTTCTTTCAGGTCTTGGTTTTGTTTTTGAGGCAAGATCTTGCGTAGCCTACCCTGGCTTCAAACCTCTGTCTAGCCAACCATGACCTTGAACTTCTGATCCTCCTGCCTCCACCTCCTGCTAGGAACTGAATTCAGGTCCTCTATAAGAACAGCACTCAGTTTTAATCATGGATATATCTCTGCAACCCCCAAATTTTCTTTTTAGGTAGGAGATTTGTTTATTTATTTGTTGTTGTTTGGGTTTTTTTGTTTGTTTGTTTTTCAAGATAGGGTTTCTCTATGTGATAGCCCTAGCTATCATGGAACTCACTTTGTAAACCAGGCTAGCCTCAAACTCATTAAGATCTTCTGCCTCCTGAGTGCTGGGATTAAAGGCGTGCACCACCACTGCCCAGCGAGATTTATTAATTTATTGTCTTTGTTTTGTTTTTCAGAACAGGGTTTCCCTGTATAGCTTTGAAGCCTGTCCTGGAACTTGCTATGTAGACCAGGCTGGCCTTGAATTCATTTTCTTTTAATTTTATGTGTATGAGTATTTTGTGTGTATGTCTGTGCATCGTGTGTGTGCAGTACCTGCAGAGACCAGAAGAGGGCATCAGATCTAGAACTGCAGTTAGATACAGCTGGAAGCCACTCTGGAAGAGTAGCAAGTGCCCTTAACCTCTCACCCATCTCTCCAACCCCAGGTATATTACAGAAGTTGTTAATGTCACAGACAAACAACAGCCTGATGGGGGCTCTGAGGACAGCACAGGTCCATGTGGCTAAGTTTGGGTTCCTTCTTAAGGGCTTCACAGGAAAGGGGAGGTTCTGGACCATGTAACTGATGAGTACCCACAGTCTGGATTGTCAGTCAGGCTGTCTACATAAGCAATGAGGGTGGGTCCATCAGAATCTGGAAGCCAAGCTATTGTAGCTTCAGAAACTGGCAAAAGTTTAACCAAATGAAGGGGCTTTACAAACTAGCCTGCCCCTTGTAAGAGGAACCACAGTGAATCCACCAAACCAGATCATCCCGGGGTCGTTTACTGGAGATCAAGCTGCCAAGGCTGTTTCCCTCCCAGGCTGGGAGTGGGCAGAGGTGAAAAGCAAGCGGATTCTACATGACCGCAGGGTGGAATCTCTGAGTGGGTCCAGGTCTTTCAGGACTGACCCGGAGCCAGATGCCCTAGCCACAGGCAGACCTTGGAGGGTAGAGTAAGGGAGGTTCCTGTTAAACAAGCCCACCTTTAGGCTTCTCTTTACCCAATAGCAGTCCTTCTGTTTACCTGGTCAAAGCCCTTCTGTTTAGGATATTGTCACCAGCACTGTCATGGGGGGGGGGGTGGTATTTTGGCCCTTACACACCTGGGTAACAGTGATCAGGTCCACGTCTATATGGGAGATAATTATACTTTACAGCATTGGGACGGTTTCACTATGTCGTGACGTCCAGTCCATTAAACTCAATGCATTTTGAATTATGTTTTAGATCAGCCTCATCACAGTATTTGAAGAGTGTGTGTTTTGGAGAGCGTGGTTAAGGCAGCACCCAGGTGAGGTGGGATCTGCAAGGGGCCAGAACACTGCAGAGGGAAAGAACCTGGGACTTAATCCCTGTGTTTAGAAACAGGAGAATGAGAGCCAAGATCATCCTTGAGAGATTGGGGCCAGCCTGCACTACATGAGAACCTGTCTCAAAAACATATCAAAACATTTCAACCAGGACACGAAGTTCCCACCATTGTGCCTGTGTTGTGAGCGCCCCAGAGACCACTAGGAGTCAGAGTTTGTACGCCAAAGCAAAGAGCCCTTATTGCTAGCTCGAGCTTGGGTTCTTCTGTTCCAACACAGTGGCTGGGTCAGGGAGAGCACTGAGCTCAGCTGGTCAGGGGGAGCACTAAGGGAGAGCACTGAGCTCAGCTGGTCAGGGGGAGCACTGAGCTCAGCTGTGGCAGGGCTTTTAAGGAGCAAAGGATGGGGGATGCGCTGTAGAGAAAATCCGGATTCCTGACTGGGCAGGAGCGGGGGGTAGCAGGAGTCTTGTCAAACAGAGATTGGTGCTGGCATTGCTGTAAGGAAATTGGCAACTTATGTACAAGTTAGGGAAGCTGTTCTTGATGTTCTGGAGCATCTAGTACTTGCTTATCTCAATTCTGATTAGTCCCCCTCAGGGTGCAGTTTGTAGCTTTTCCTGGTTATTGTAAGGGTGAGGCCAAGTCCCAGTATTGCTAGTCTGCAGCCTGTCATGGCTGCACTGATGCTAAGTTAGGTCTCTTCACCCACCACCCAGCATGAGGATAGGGGATTGATCTCCAGTTGTTAGAAGTAAGTTTGGGGGGCTGGAGAGATGGCTCAACGGTTAAGAGCATTGCCTCTTCTTCCAAAGGTCCTGAGTTCAATACCCAGCAACCACATGGTGGCTCACAACCATCTGTAATGAGGTCTGGTACCCTCTTCTGGCCTGCAGGCATACGTGTAGGCAGAATATTGTATACATAATAAATAAACAATTTAAAAAAAAAGAAGTAAGTTTGGGGTCACAAAATAAGAGAGCACAGCTCCAGCTGAAGTAACTGGACAAGCAAACTTTACTCTTGACCAAGAGAGCTTGCTCCGAAGGTCGACACAGAAACAGGAAGTCCCTTTGGTTTTTGTTGTAATTCGGGGAGTGGCTGTGTCTTTTCCCCATTGGCTGAGTCTTACTCAGTCTTCGTTCGGTTGAGTAGTCTGAAAAGAATTGGTGAGCAGAAGACCAGGGAAAGGGATCACAGGAAAAGGTGGTCCTGACCACCAGATCCCTGGAATGCAGCCGTGAGCTAGCTTTTGTGTAGAATTAAGATATTAGCATAGAAGTCTTACAAGGTATTGGGGGCACAATTTTAAATTCCATATCCTAAACACAAGTTTCATAGTACTTGATAGAAAAGACTCATGTTTGATATTTCTTACACTGTGACCCAGGAAATAATAAAAAAATAACCATTCTAAGTATGGACTGGTCATGGTAGCATACACACAAGCCTTTAATCCTAGCACGTAAGAGACAGGTGGATCTCTGAGTTTCAGGCCAGCCAAAGCTACATACTAAGACCTTGTCAAAGAGAACAACAACAAAAAATTTAATCCAAATCTGACTTCTACTAAATGCATATTCTTTTCCTACCATCATCAAGTCAAACTAAGGTAGGCAAGCATAGGGAATAGCTTAGCAACGTAGGACTCCACTTGGCCTGGACTATACACAATCTCCTTTTCTAATGATGCATTTGGCAGCCGGGCTTCTTTACCTGCATGTACGATGCCCGCGCACCCATCTCGAAACCTCGCTGTTTTGGAATTCCACCTCTGTCCAGCTCCATGAAAGCCCCTCTGAAAAATGGGATGAGTTTTCCCCTCCCCTAACCACCAAATCTAGTCAGATATTATTATGTTTGGGTGGAAGAATAGAAAAGTTGGTCTAGCCTGGACTACTTCTGAGTGTGTGTAAAATAAGACAAAACTCGTGTTCTTAGAGAGAATATTCTATCTTAAGCATGCAGAGGCCAGAGGACAACTCTGAGTTGGGTTCCTCTAGAGCCCCTGCCTAGAATCCCCCAGTGAGGGGCTGGGGTGTGGCTCAGTGGTAGAGCCCCTGCCTAGAATCCCCCAGTGAGGGGTTGGGGTGTGGCTCAGTGGTAGAGCCCCTGCCTAGAATCCCCCAGTGAGGGGCTGGGGTGTGGCTCAGTGGTAGAGCCCCTGCCTAGAATCCCCCAGTGAAGGGCTGGGGTGTGGCTCAGTGGTAGAGCCCCTGCCTAGAATCCCCCAGTGAGGGGCTGGGGTCGTGACTTGGTTATCCGTAGATTCAATCCCTAGAATTGATGAGGGGGAGTGAACCCTGATTAGCTATGGCCTTTTTGATAATGATGGGCCCAACAGCACCAAATGCAGCGTCCTAGTGAGACGTATCAATAATGGGGACAGTTACTGGTGTGGCAGCAGGGGTAGGTGGGAACTTAGCACAAACCTGAAATTGCTCTGAAACAATGACGTCTAAGACGCATTAGAATGTTAGAGATGAACACAGGCAAAGTGCGCTCTCCGACGAAACAAAACATGGAAGGGTGAAGGGCCGGGCCCATTACCTAGCTCCATGCTGCTTTTCAGAACTACCGAAGTGATTTTCACGTGGAGACTGTCTCCCTGGCCCCTCAGACTCCAGACCACAATCATAGTAAAAGCCACGTTATGGAGACGTACACGTTCTGCCTTTTCAAGTGCCATGCTCTGGTTCCGGTGGCAGCGGAGAGCGAAGGTGGCTTTTACCCAGGTTATAATTTCACAGCTGTCTCTGACCAGATGGTCTCTAATGCACATTCAAGGTGGTTTCTGCATGTTTGTTTGTTCTGCGTTTTAGTTCAGAGGGCTGGAGAGATGGCTCAGTAGTCCAGA